AACATGCTCAGTTTAAAATAATTTCATGCACTAGATAGCATATTTACATACAATTACAATAAATAGTCAAACAGAGGAAGTTATTCGATTACCTTAACCCTTCTATTACTAGAAATTTTACTCTTGGATTTCAACAACTACTACCTCATCATTACAAGCCTCTTTCCACACTCTACACGCATATTATGCCAATCTACATATAATTGGCACAATTAGCTAATTAACTTAATTGACCAAAAACACTTATTTACTACTCTAACCTACAATTAGCTATCAATTCCTTATCACTTAGCCAATCTAAGTTCATTACCATTCTTTTACCACTTTTCAACACTTCCAACAATCCAATTTCACTTAAACACAATTTCCTCTCTAATTTCCATTAAATTAGGGCTAAATTTGAGCTTACGAGTTCAAAGCTCTATTATTTTAACTTCGAACCAATTACAAAGCTCTAATTTAACTCATGAAACTTTTTTATTACTATAAGGTAAAAAATAAACCCTTAAAATTTCACTGATTTGATTTTTCTATAACTCATACTAAGAGAAATTGTAGTAGAATTAGAGGTAAGAGTCGTTCAAAACTTACCCGATAAGTTACTAATTAGAGATGTCTTCCAATGTTTGAAAATGCTTGCCCTAGTAGCTAAGGCCTTCCTCTCCTCTCTCTTTCATGTTTCACTTCCCTTTCCTTTTGAACTCTCATGAAATTTCACAACTTATTAAGTCACTTTTTGGTCCATGCGCCACGGTGCAAGTGTCATTAGCCACAGCGCGTGGCACAACAAGCAAAATTCTCACTGCACGTACATGCTTCACTTCAGGACACGATTCTTCCACCCGTATCTATTCATTTAACATCCTAAAGACTCAAATTATCAACTAATCATTCATATCTTTAATCCTTTACTAATTACTAATCAATCCTTAATTAATAGCTAATCATAGGATTATAAAATTAGGATATTACATTTTACATTCAATATTGCATATTTTAAGACAAATGGAAAATTTGATTAAGTCAAATTATTCTCACATTCGATGTTATTTTAACTTTGATTTTCAATATTTTGGCATAAATCTCTTCAAAATATGCATCGAGATGTTTTTACTCATAACAATCTCATGCTATTCACATTTATTATCTACGCGTCATAAGCATATCTTGATATACTTTTATCATGACACCATATTTGCTAATTGATTTCTTCTTGTTACTTGTTAGTGTTCAATTCATATACAATGAAGAATCGACACTCAACAACAAGAAATTCCTTCAACTCTCTATGCAAAAGAAGAATTAATCCTTTGAGGACAATTCATCAAACTAGTGTATCAATAACTTCATCAGCTTATCACAATATGATTTCACTAAGGGGAAGAAGTCATCTTTAGGGAAGAGCTGTCAAATCAAAAACATCAAGAAACCTCATGCTCATATTTTCTCCAAAAGGGGATAAAATCTTAAAATAAGACACCTTGATATAGTCATATAAGAGGAGAAGTTACATTTAGATTTCAAAGTTCTCCACCTAATAAATAAGAGAAGTCATATTCAGGGGGAACTCTAAACCTTATACTAGTCTCTTGTTCCCTTGCATATACTTAAAAGCCTTTTTTATTAATGACAAATTAGGAGAGAAGTTATCATGAAAAATATGATTTGCTAAAGACTTATTTTCTAAGAAATAAGCATATTTTTCATAAGTGATTTGTTATCATAAAAAAAGGGGAGATTATTGGACATAATACTTATGATATTATGTTTACATTAAGTTTTGATGATGACAAATATAAAAAAGTAACTATATACTTATGCCTAATTGTTTTATAGAGAGAGAGTAGTTAACTGTGACTATAAAACAAGTTTTTTAAAGTGTTTTTACTTATGTTGTTCTATATTACATAAGATTTAAGAAAAATAATTTGTGTACATTAAAATTATTTTTATACTGTCATATTTTTTCCTTATCTTAAATTGACTCTATATCTAAAAGCATTCATGGTATCATCTTTCATAACTTAGATATATGTATATTAATACTTGAACTAACCATTTTATTCATAATATATCATTTAAGGTTGTTTAAAGTGAAGATGAAAGTAAGCATGAAGAGAAAGAAAGTTGAAGTCATCATTTGCATGCTACATTCATGATTGAAGAACATAAAGATAAAGAGAAGGATTCAAGAAGAGCTTAAGAAGAATGATGACATTTATACAAATTTGAATGCATCTTGGAAGCCTTTAATTTGATAGGTGTAATATCATTAGGCAAAAAGTCTTCATATTAAACTCATTGATTTAGATATATAATATTGGCCCAAGATATTTTAAATAGAAAATATGCATTTTAGCTCTTAAGATAAAGAGTGAAATATATTTTTCTACAATTATATTTTTTTTATCCTTGATCATATATATCTCACAAGATTTTCAATGTTTTGATTACTAACTCCATAAAGTTTTTAGAGTTGATCTATTTACTCAAAAAGAATTGAAGTTGAAAAAGGTATGAACACTTGAAGTCTAAACTTTGAAATGATAATTGTGCAGAAAATCAGATTTGACCTTTAGTCATGTTTTTAGTCATATTTCTTATTACACGAATCATTTTAATGTGAAGTATATCTCATTTGAAAACAAACTCCAGCATATTTTTAATGATAGTTTATTTATTCAAAATGGAGTTTTATTAAGAAAGATATAAATTTTAGATTTTACTATTGAGATATTGATTACCATAGTATTTAGAGTTGACCTTTGACCAATATTTTGATTATAGCTCAAAAGTTATATTGAATATAAGTATAAAATTTATTTGATTGAAAACTAGACTTCAAGGCTTTCAAAAGATATATAACTTGTTGGATTTGGAGTTGTACTTATAACCTTATGAAGTTTTATACAATGAAGCATTCCAACATACGCATGAATGAAAATGGTACACGCACGTGAATCATTCTTAAAATACTTCAGTGTGCAATTCAAATGTGAATGACTTCCTATCTACAAGTGAAACATCATCCAAAGCCTTATTTTTCATTGAATAGCTATATGATCTAATTTAAGCTTGAAAGCACATAGCATCCATGTGTCAATTGTCACATATATGAAGCTTGGAGCTTTTATGTGCCATTTCACACTTGAAAAACAAGAGCATTCAAGTTTGATTCATCCTGAATGGGTTGGAGTTTCTGCCAGCCATTTCAAGCATAAGCGTAAAGAGTGTTTAAGCTTAATTGTCACTTGGGCATACTACATGATGTTTCAAGCTTAAGTCAAAAATGATCCATGCTTGATTTGTCACCTGGGAATACTACATGACGTTTCAAGCTTGAGTTAAAAATGATCCACGCTTGATTTGTCACTTGGGTGTACTACATGATGTTTCAAGCTTGAGTCAGAAATGATCCACACTTGATTTGTCACCTATGAACGTGAAATGTCCATTTCAAGCTTAAAACGTCATTAATGGCTATAATCACTATACAATGGCTATAATCACTATACAACGGCTATAAATGGTCATATTATATCTCTAACACCTATTTCACTCTATGGACTATAAATATAACACTCCAAACTTATCTTAATAAGGGATTAAGTTCAGAAATTATCAAGCTATGAGATTCATATTCATATTACTCTTATTTTACAAAAATTATTGTTCTTGAACTAATATCATTTATATCTTTATCATTTGAGTATTAAAGCTTTATTGTACTTATTATTGCTCTTAGAAAGAGTTTCGATTGATTGATTTACATATTTGACATCATTGTAAAGGTGGGAAAGAGATTTCCCTTATAATCAAGAGAGGTTGCTCTCTTGAGAAAAGAAGATCACTAGTAGAATGAGTTATTGTAGAGATTCAAAAGTGCTCAAACTAAACTTGTGGTTGTATTGTGATGGCTAGCTAGTTATTTTTACTCGCTATATATTCTATATTGTTTACAAGATTAAGTTATGGATGTATAGGAAAATAAAAAAATATTTTTTAAAAAATAAACTTACAACAACAATTATTAAGAAAACTAATATTGAAAATCTTTTAACAGTAGTTTTATGTAGAAAATAGTCATGAAAGGTCAATTTTTCACTTCAATTCTTTTTATTTTCTCCTAATAACTGACATAAAAAGTCTAAAATATTTTACGTAAATAATGACAGAAACCTCTCCTTAAGTTTAACTAACTAGTACACCGACACAAAAGAACAATTCTATTATACAACCTATCAAAAAAAAAAAAAAAAAAACTAGATAGGCACATAAATTCTAGAGTAACCTCTAGACTTAACCTATTCCTTTTTTCTTCTGTGTAAGTGCTTTTGCCACTTGGGTCCTATAGAACTATGGTAATAATGGATTAAATGTGAATTCTATAAATAAAAAATTTCATCTCTTTATGAAGGATTAGCTCCTTATGATAAGTGCAACCCTCATAACTTGTTGCTATTGTTGTTATATAAAAATATTAAAAAAAAACCAAGAACATGTTTTATCCTCTTTTTCAGGAAAAAAAAACGTTTGAAAATATGTGTTCTATTATCTATTTTGATAAACATAAATGATGAAAGTTATTTTTGATAAACTAAAAATAAAAAATACATCTTTTAAATGTTTAGTTATTTCTTACCTTGCAAAACTAGGAAAAAGACATAAAATCTCATGCTTTTATTAATGATAATTATGTTAATAAAATAAATTATTCTTTCATTATTTATGTTACCAATTTATGTATGTTTTGTAAATAATGATTCAAATAGATTTTTTTAATTTTTCTAAAAAACTAAACTGGCTTAAAAAACTATTTTACATAATCAGTTTAGAAATATAGAATCTGAAAACAGAATCAAGCAAACCCCAAAACTATCCCTTCTGGCTTCCAGACTTGTCATTCCCAGTGCTTAGTTTTTAGTTTCTATGGCAAAAAATCTATTTAAGAGATTCAACCATTCATTAAATTAAATTTGACAAAATTACGTCACGTGTGGTGCGGTTATGGACTCAGGCTACCAAACAGCCGAACAGGCCTTCAGTCTCTTATCCACCGTCCTCGACATTGTCGTCACTTCCGTCATTCCGTGCCGCGTCTGAGTCTGACTCTGAGCAGCGATCGCCTCGGATTCTCGGTGACTACGTCTTCGTCATCTCCTCGAGCTTGAACGGTGGTGGACGATTGTGTGTGTGCTGTGCCTGACGGAGTGCCCCTGCGTCGTTCTCTTCTCCTTCCAGATTCGTCACTCCTTCCTCAAGCATCTGATCTCTCTCAATCTCGCATCTTCTTACCCCGTTTACTTTAGTTGCAGTCACTCTGAGTCTCGGTTTCCCGAAGAGAGGCCCTTGGTCTCCGGAAGAAGATGCTAATCTCAGGACTTACGTTGAAGCTCATGGCATTGGTGGTAATCGGATCGAAAAGCTAGTCTTTTTCCCTTCTCTTCATGTTTCATTGCTGTTTGAATTTTCTTGAGTTTCTTGTTTGATGATAAATATGAGTCTGTCAGGTTAAGAATTCCATTTAAAGAGCAGGGTTTTTTGTATCAAGCACAGTGCAACAAGAATATCTTGGGAGATTTTATGTTAAATGTTCCAGGATGGATTTGTTAAGAATTTTTAAGGGGAGGTGTGTGATCTGTTAAAATAATTCTGGGTAAGGAAAGATTGAATGAGATAGGAGAGAACAGAGAGAGAAGAACAGGAAGGTTGGGGAAACAGTCAGGGAAGTTGAAGACGAGACAGAGAAGAATTAGGAATATTAGAGAGAAGGAGAGGTTGAGAGAAATTAAGGAACACTAGGATTTTGCATAATGCTCTTGCGATCATTCCGATAGCCTTGCAATTTGAATGTCCCAATATTTATAGGATTCACGCTCACATAGGATTCACGTTCACACTCCCCCAACGGCTAAATGTCAACAACTGTCATTCCTAAACTAACTAATATTTTTACAAACCTATAATAATACCCCACTCAAAATGATCCTTGCCCTCAAGGATCATTGATAACAAATTGAGGAAACTTTTGCTGTAACTGATGTAGAGCCATCCAAGATGCTTCTTCATTAGGTAATTGCTTCCATTTAATCAAAACTTCAGTAATAATTCGTCCCCTCTTTCTACCAACTTGCTTTTGTAGAATACTTTCGGGTTCTAAAGCTGGTGGCAACTTAAGGAAAACCCATTGGCCAATAGCAAACTCTCGATCTGTTCTATGAGAATCAGCTTTTTGTTTCATCAAACTGGCTGCTCGATGAAGATGGTGCTTCAAAACAACCATCATAGCTTCTCTCATGGTTCTTGGTTTAACCAACTTGACAGGTCCTGCAATTTCTTCCAATAATCCATTGAGATAAAAATCCACTAAATATTCCTCAAATAAACTTAGTTTACAAGAAGTAGTGTCAAATTCATCATTATAGTTAGCCAAAGTCCCTTGATGCTTAAGGCACACCAGATCGTTCATGGGTGTCTCATGTGCAGGGCCAAATCGATCCTTCAGCTTGTCGATATATTCTTCCCAAGTGGGTCGCAAGCCTACCCATGCTTTTTCATTCGTGACGTGCCACTAGAATGCTTTTGGGTCAAATACATACTTGCAATCTTGACTTTTGATTCTTCAGGGGTTTCATTGAGCTCAAAACAACGCTCACATTTTAGTATCCAGCCTTTGACATCCTCTCTAGTAAATTTAGGAAAATCCATTTTGGCAAATTGTGTTGGTCGACAATACCCATTTTGTTGGTGACCCTCGCGACGATTCTAGTCCTCTAGATCTTGGTCGTGGTTTCGACGATGACCATTATGTCCGTCCCCGTCATTCCACAAGCCACGCTCACGATCACACATGAGCTGTTGGATGTGGGCCTTTATCTTATTGGGCTGAGACCCACAAAACACAAAACATAGGGTTTTTTCCTTTTTAAGATAATAACTTTATTTTTTCTTTGATATTCTGTAATTAGTTTTAGCTTTATTAGGTTAGATATTAAAGCAATGATTTGAGGGATTTGAATCAAATTATCCTCTCCTTCCCTCATCTATATATGTACCTCAGTTCTATTTAGTAATACACAAGGAATTATTCAGTAAATATTTACATGGTATCAGAGCAAACCGTTTGTCTCTCTCAGCTTCTTCTTCTTCTTGTTCTATAACCCTTGGTTTGATTTTGTTCATAGGTGCCTTGACCAACCAGACACCACGAGCGCTCCAGACTGGCGATGCAAGCAAGAATTTGACCGGTGATCGCGATGAGATTGGGAGTACTGGGCTTAATGGTGTGATTGATGACAGAGAACCAAGGGGCACGTTTGATAACACAGGGTCGAAGACTTCAACTTTCTTCCCTGGAACAACATTAGCATCTAAGGTATTTTCTCAAATTGCAATTAATCACCGATTAAATGGAAATAACTACCTACAGTGGTCCGGAAATGTCCTTATGGTACTATGAGGGAGATATAAAGAGAAATTTTTATCAGGCATACCTCCTCCACCACCTTCTGATTATACCTAGTATGAAGTTTGGGTTGCTGAAAATAATATGGTAATGGCGTGGCTTGTGAACTCCATGACAGTGGAGATCAGTGAGAATTACTTGCTCACAGCCACCGCCAAAGAAATATGGGAGTCAGCAAAAAATACTTACTTAGTCAGAGAAAACATTGCTGCCATATTTCGGGTAAAACATTCCCTTAGAAGTCTCATTCAAAGTGACAAATCAGTAACTCAATATTATACTACTCTAACGAAATTCTAGCAGCAAATTGATCTCTATGGGATCCATGAGTGGTCTTGTCACAAGGATGGGATTTATTACATAAAACTGATTGATTGAGACAGGTATTATGATTCCTTGTTGGGCCTTAATGACACCTTTGAGGGTATCCTAGGTCAAATAATGAGTATGAAGCCTGCTCCTATGTTGGAAGAGACCTTCAATGTGGTCCAATGTGAGGACAGCAGAAAAGTATTCACTCAAAGCTCCATGACAGCCACTCATCTTCCAAATAATGCTTCCGCACTTGCTGTCCGAGGAACTCAAGGAGACATGAAGGGCAAAAGACCTGGAATATGGTGTGATCACTACAATAAGGGTGGACACACCAAAGATATTTGCTGGAAATTACATGGCAAACCTCTACATTTAAAAGAAAAACCTAAAAATGAAGGTAAAGGACTTATGGTTGGTACTGCAACATCTGAAAATGGGTCTTTAAGTACTAAAGAATTGTCAATCCTTTGAAAAATCCTGGAGAAGCACACTCCCTCAACTGCAACTAACATAAGTGAGGCAACACAGCCTTTTGTAACCTTCGCCCAATCAAGTACTGTTCTAACTAATGCTCTTAGAGGGATGACTAACCCAAAGAATCTTTGGATGGTGGATTCATGTGCTACTGATCATATAACAGGTTTCAAAGAACTTTTTTCTGAATTTGATGAACATTTTAAGCATGAATATGTTGAAGTAGCTAATGGTGAATTTGCAAAAATCATGGGTACTGGAACTATAATTATCTCTGAACATATTATCTTAAAGGATGTTTTATATGTTCCAACTATTAAATGTAATTTGCTATTTGTAAGTCACATTGTCACCCAAGCAAATTGCTTAGTGGTTTTTGACAAAAAGGGTTATGATTTTCAAGATTGGCCTTGGGCAAGTTGATTGGCAATGCTAAGGAATGGAATGGGCTCTACTACATTTATGGATCTCCACCTAAGAATAATTGTGTTGTTTGCTCTGTCATGACCTGTGCAGACTTTACTTTATGGCACTCTAGGTTAGGCCACCCCAGCCTTCAATATATGAAATTTCTGTTTCCTAGCATTAGTAATAAAATAATTTTTGAATTTCATTGTAATACTTGCAATTTCGCTAAGCAAGTCCGAAACTCCTCCCCCACGAATTCTTATACCCCAACTCACCCTTTCTACCTAATCCATAATGATGTATGGGGTCTATCAAAATTTGAAACTAACTCAAAATCTAAATGGTTTGTCACATTCATAGATGATCATACTTGATTAACATGGGTTTTTCTAATGAAAGAAAAATCTAAAGTATTCTCCATTTTCAAAAATTTTCATGCCTTTATTAAAAATCAATTTCAAACAACAATTAAAATTCTTCGAAGTGGCAATGGTAGAGAATATTTGAACTCAAATTTCAAAACTTATTCAGAACAAGAAGGAATACACCACTAGACTTCTTGTGTTTATTCTCCACAACAAAATGGTGTATCTGAAAGAAAAAATAGACACTTACTTGAGGTTGCTTGAGCTCTTATGTTCGAAAGTAATGTTCTAAATAAATTTTGGGGGATGCTATTCTTACTTCTGCCTATTTAATAAATCGTTTGCTGTCTAAAACTTTAAATTTTCAAACATTGTTACAAAAATTTCTTGAAACCTATCCCAACTCCCACCTCACTACCTCTATTCCCAAATGAGTTTTCGGATGCACAGCTTTTGTGTATAATGAAGAGGGTGGGAAGCTTGACTCGTGCACTTAAATGTGTTTTCTTAAGTTATTCTTTTACTCAAAAAGTGTATAAGTGTTATTCTCCTGTTACTAGCCAAGTATATATCACTATGAATGTCCAATTTGTTGAAAAACAGCCCTTTTATAACAAATTTGACATTTAGGGGGAAAAAGAGACAAGTGAATGGTCAATTTGTTTAACTGATTCAAATTATCATAACTCATCTCTTGGACCTCAAATATCACTAGATAACCCTCTTGACCCTCTTGAAATGCTTGTTCAAGAGATCTCTCTTCCTCCGATTTAAACTCAAATAATTCTTCCCTTGAATCTCAAAAATATCCTGAAAAAGACGAAACAGGTACACCAAACTCTGAAAATTCTTCTAATAGATCCAGATTTTAGGATACAAACTCTTTTGAACTCCTCAATATGCTCTCTAACTTTGAGACTCAACTTGATCAGCCAAAAAGTGCTGCTGAACAGCACCAAAATGGAGAAGATCCCATTATCATGCCAACGTAGAACCATGATTTTGCACTTGAGGAGAGTCTTGAGGATTTACATTGGCCAATTACTTTAAGAAAAGAAAAGAGAAGTTGCACTAGACATCCTATCACCAGGTATGTTTCATATAATAAACTATCTTCTCATATGAAAGCCTTTGTGGCTAATGTTGAAAAAGAAGAAATCCCCAAGAATTTTGAAGCAGCCATCTCTGACCCTAAATGGAAAAAGGCTATAGAAGAAGAGTTGAGGGCCCTACCTAAAAACAAAACGCAGGAAATTACTGAGTTACCTGAAGGGAAATCAATTGTGAGTGGCAAATGGGTCTTTACAGTAAAATACAATCCTAGTTGTAGTATAAACAAGTATAAAGCCTGATTGGCAGCTAGGGGATTTACCCAAACTTCTAGTATTGATTACCAGGAAACTTTTGCCCCTGTTGCCAAACTAAACTCTATAAAAGTTGTATTGTCTCTTGTTGCTAATTTAGGTTGGCCTCTTTATCAACAAAATGTTAAGAATGTCTTCTTTAATGGTGATCTTGAAGAAGAAGTCTATATGGAAAATTCCTTTGGGATTATGAGATTCTAACAATTCTCACAAGGTTTGCAGGTTAATTAAGTCTCTATACGGGCTCAAGCAATCACTAAGAGCATGGTTTGAGAAATTTACCCAAGTGGTCAAAGTGTCGGGATACAAACAATGTTCGACAGATGATACTCTATTAGTCAATCATTATAACAATAAATAACAACTCTTATTGTGTATGTTGATGATATAGTGTTGACAGGAAATGATGAGGAAGAAATTACTAAATTAAAGACCAACTTAGCAATAGAATTTGAAATTAAAGACCTTGGATCTTTGAGGTATCTTTTGGGCATGGAAGTGGCACAAACTCATAAAGGAATTAGTGTGTCACAACATAAATAACTCTGGATTTACTGAAGGAAACAAACATGTTGGGGGTAAAACCTGCAAACACTCCAATGGATCTGAATCAAAAATTAACTATTAGATCTAATGGTACAGCAGTAAATAAAGAAAAATATCAGAAGCTGGTGGGAAAGCCAATTTACTTATCTCACATGCGACTTGATATATGTTTTCTTGTGAGCGTGGTAAGTCAATTCTCTAGCTGTCCTCGAAAAGAACATATGGATGTTGCCTACCGGAGACTCAAATACCTAAAGAAGACCCCAGGCTTGGGCTTATTCTTCGCAAAAGGTGATATTAAGGGCATAGAATTATTCATAGATGCTGATTGGGCTGGTTCAAAAATAGACAAACGATCTACTATAGGGTACTGCTTGTACGTTTGGGATAACTTGGTAACCTGGAGGAGTAAAAAACAACCAGCGGTTTTGAGAAGCTCTGCTGAGTCCGAATATAGGGCGCTTGCCCTGGGAACTTGTGAAGGAATGTGGATTATTAGACTTCTAAAAGAACTTAAAATTGACACAATATGTCTGCAATCGAGATCAAACAATCCTGTATATCATGATCGCACAAAGCATGTGGAAATCAATTGACACTTCATCAAAGAAAAACTGGACACAAAGGTGATTGATTTGTCATACATCCCTTCAGGACAATAAATTGCAGACATGATGACTAATGCACTAACTTTAGAGAAATTTGAAGCATTCAGGAGCAAGTTGGGAATGATCAACATCTACTTATTGGCTTGAGGGGGTGTTGGATGTGGGCCGTTAGTGTTATCGGGCTTAGACCCACAAAACAAAAAACCTAGGGTTTTTTTCTTTTTAAGATCATAACGTTATTTTTCCTTTTATATTCTGTAATTAGTTTTATCTTTATTAGATTAGATATCATAGCAATGATTTGAGGGATCTGAATCAGATTATCCTCTCCTTCCCTCATCTATATATGTATCTCAGTTCTATTCAGTAATACACAAGGAATTATTCAGTAAACTAACTAATATTTTTACAAAACTATAACAATGTGCATATCCTTTACTAGACCTATTAATATTCATTGCTTCCTAGCGAAATTTAATATTTTTCTCATTCTTCTCTTTGTTGAAGGTGGTAGCTAATAACTAGGGACAATGGGTATCTTTGTGAAGATCAAAGAAATTGAGGCCAAGATGGCTCGAACCCCAAAAAATTGAGCCACGGGTACTAAGTGGGCATTTCTTGCATGTGCACCTTCCTTTTTTATTACTTTGATATTTGATTGGTATAATCATAACCATGGTATTGAAAACCGGACCGGACCGGCCGGGTCAACCCGAAAACCGGTGACCCGGTCCCTTGTCCGGTCTGGGTTTACCCTTAACCCGGTGAGGGAGTGAATCGGTGTAACCCGGTCAACCCGGTATAACCCGGTCAACCAACCCACCGGGTTGACCGGGTTATTATTTTTTCAAACTTTTACCCCCAAAATGACGTCGTTTTTTTTCATTTTTAATTTTTCAGAGCTCTGAGTTCAGAAATAAGATAACAAAAAAAAGTGAAATTGAAGTCAAAAAATAAAAAATTAGAAGTAGAGCATGCTAAGTCCAAAAATATAGTATTTTATTATTGTTAGACTTTTGAGTGGTTGGATTTGGTTGAATTATTTATAATTAATGTCTTTTTATTTAAATTGTATTATTTTAATCATGACTGGTTTGCCACCGATTCAACCCCCGGTTCAACCCCGATTCAACCACTAACCCGTGACCCAGTGCCATAACCGGTTTAATGACCGGTCCGGTTTTACGTACCTTGATCATAACATTATATAATTTTTTATGTTTAGCCGTATTAATTATATGGCAAGAGCCATCTAGGAATATAACTTTATCACCTATTTCTTTGTTGTTCTTTCAGTACATAAATGAATTTACATTTGTTTATCATGCAGAATATCATCCTCAAGGCAAAGATAGCCATGTTGGAGCCGCCAAAGGTATGCAAGTCTGCTTTCTTTCCGTTCATGGTTTTGTGTATGGATTGTTTTATGTTCTCTTTCGTTTAAAAGTTGTCCTTGACATTTCTGATACATATTAGTAATCGATTTAGATTCATGTATTTGTTCTGTGCTAAATGCAAAAAAAAAAAAAAAAAAAGGTGGGAGGTAAATAATAGGCTTCTTAGTTGCCTTGGAATGGCTACAGAATTTTGTGTTCTCGGTGAGTTATCTGTCGGCCCTACCCCTGTTTATTTTTCTAATCTTGACAAACCGGTATTTTGCTTTTATATTTGTTTTGTGCTATTGTTTTTTTAACTAAAATATTCATGCTCCAGTCATTGTGCATCTTTAGTTTTCACTTATTGCACAGCATGATGACAAATGTTCTCACTTGAAATGTGACAAATTTTTATTAATTTTTTTAATTATTCATTTATAAGTGTTGGAAGAATTTTGTGGACAATGTCACCTGTTGTAGCTTGCCTAAGTTTGCGTCCCTCAGTTACTTGTTGCATTGGTGTTAAGGTTCATGCGTGTATATGTTTGTCTTTTAAGTTATTGACTATTGAGCAAGTTACATGGGCCTAAATGTACCTAGGTCACTATCAATTCCTAAACTTTGGTTCTCTTGTATTCAAGCATTGTAAACCAAAAAGATAGATGGAAAGATGAATTACCAATGTTGCTAAGTTGGATTGTTGTTGAGCTTTTGAGAATTGAAGGGGCTTACACCAGTCAATTGTATTAGAGAATTATGATGTGAAACCATTTGAAAGTCAATAACAGTTATTTGTTCTTGTCATGTACTAAACATTGTACATTCATAAAAGCAATGTGTGTTTATGAATTACCAAAAAGAGAGATGATGTCTCTCCAATGCTTTTCATGCTGTCAAGGATTGCCGTGCTTGTCCACAATATTATAAACTACTGACAAAATTGGAATACAAGAGATGGCATGGCATGCAATTCTAACAATCGGAATTAGAATTGATTAGAGCTTCAAACCAGCTGCTGCTTCCTTATAAAAATGTGCTACTGTATCTTCTACTCTACAAGGGCCTCCAAATGATTGCAACTCGCTATTATTGCTAAATTTAGTGCTAATTCATACTGTACATAGATAGTAGCCAATTTTCAGCTCATTTAATTGGGGGAAAATGGACGTAAAGTTAACAAACAATGTTGTACACTTGTACATTCATTCGAAGTATCATTCCATGCAATCGTACTATTGTTGGTTTAGGTGACAAATTTTTTTATTTCATATGCAGGAGTGTATGTTGTTGTTGTACATGAGTGATGGGCATTTGTTTGAATGAGAAGTTGTCCAAATCCAATAATATTTTCTGACGGTGCTTTTGCTAGAATAAGCGGGACAATTATGTTGAGTGCTGGAATAAGCTCTAGAAGAAACATGTTCTAATTCCAAAATGGCCATGCGCTCATTCTCCTCTAAGCATAGAATCTTGTGGTCTTTCTTTCAACATAAACCCTATTGTTATCACTTTTCCTCTTTCACCTCATCATCAGATCTTGTGAGTGAGATTTCTCGTGTGCTTAGTGACCATCGAGATCCCCACCATGATTTGGAGCACTCTCTGTACCCGTTTTCAACTCAAATATCCACAAATTTAGTTGAGCAAGTCCTGAAACGGTGCAAGAATCTTTGCTTCTCATCTCATAGATTCTTTATTTGGGCTAAGTCGATTCCAGATTTTCAACCCAGTGTTGAGAGCTACCACATTTTGGTGGAAATCTTAGGAGCAGGAAAGCAGTTTGCCATGCTATGGGACTTCCTCACCGAAATCAGAGAGACCTGTTGCTGTGAAATTAGGAGTGAACTTTTCTGGCTCGTTTTTGGAGCATACAGCCGTGCTAATTTGCCAGGTGGTGCAATACGGGCTTTCATTAGAATGGAAGAATTTGGAGTTAAGCCAAACATTCATGATCTTGATAAGCTTTTATTTATTTTATGTAAGAAGAAACAGGTCAAACATGCTCAAAAGTTTTTTGATGAAGCTAAGGATAGGTTCAAGTTAAATGCTAAATCTTACAGCATTTTAATAAAGGGATGGGGTGAAATTGGTGATGCCAAGAAGGCACTCGAATTGTTTGATGAAATGGTTGGGGAAGGTTGTCCTGTGGATTTGCTTGCTTATAATAATTTGTTAGAGGCACTTTGCAAAGGAGGTAAAGTTGATGATGCTTCCAATTTGTTTCAAGTTATGGTATCAAAAAGAGTTGAGCCAGATGCCTATACTTATTCAATATTCATTCGTACGTATTGTGATATGAGTGATTTGCATTCAGTTTTCAGGGTTCTTGACAGAGTGAAAAGAGCTAACCTCTTGCTAAATGTGTATGCATACAATCATATTATAAAGAGACTTTGTAAAATTGAGAAAGTGGAAGAAGCTTATCAATTGTTGGATGAAATGATTGCAAGCAGTGTAAATCCAGATATCTGGAGTTATAATGCAATATTAGCTTATCATTGTGATCATTGCGAGGTCAACAGGGCTCTTAGGTTGCTGTCCAGAATGGAAAAAGACAACTGTCTTCCTGACCGTCATACCTATAATATGGTGCTGAAATTGTTGATCAGGACAGGAAGGTTTGATAGAGCAAATGAAGTGTGGGAAAAGATGGTGGATAGGGATTTTTATCCTTCCGTTTCAACATATGCTGTCATGATTCATGGATTTTTAAAGAAGAAGGGTATGCTTGAGGAGGCCTGTAAGTATTTTGAGATGATGATTGATGAAGGAATTCCACCTTATGTTAATACCGTTGAGTTGCTGAGGAATAGGCTCTTGGGTTTAGGGTTTTTGGATCACATTGAAATACTCACTGATAAAATGAGGCAGAGCACTTCATGCTCAATCCAAGAATTAGCAAATGTTATGGTTCGCACTAGAGCTCTTCGAAATTCAAGATGTGATGAGACCCACATAGAAAGTGACTGAAGAATGAAGTGGCAAGTTGGCAGACAAGGGAAACTATTATGGGTAAAGTGTGCTGGACTGTATGAACTTAGTCATCCATTATATAAAAGTTGAGTGCATTTAGAAGATTCTGAGTTTTTGGGCAACAATTAACTGATGCATTTTAACGTGCTGGATGCAGCTATGATGCTTTTCATACTCTGGAGACGCTAATAGAAGGTTCAAAGATCAGCAGAGCAGGTAATAGATGAAGCAAAATGTCAGCGGCCTTCATTTTTTGATCATATCTTCTCATAACTGCTGCATTACTTTCCACTCATTGTCTCATTAAATATCCGTTTATTGCCATTATTTTCCTGATTGCTAAATCTGATTTATGCGCCCAGGGTTTAAGTCTTCATATTAAAATACAACTACGCTTTCACAGATTATTAATCATTTCGCTTTGTAGCTGAAATTCTTGATATAATAATTTTAAAATACTTCTAGACGAAGATGATACTTAGTTGTCTTAAAGAAGACATTTAAGTTATTTTGCATTTGTTAATTTATAGCCTGAGTTTGCTTTTGTTATTGCTGTTTTTTGTCAATTCACATTAGATCTAAGAGCTACCTAGGAATAACCTCAATCTTACGTTATGTCATATATTATCCAAGGGACATAATACTATATAAACTACAGAAAATGAATAAAGATTCGGTCAATGGATATGCTTGTCCAGAAGTTTCATTGAATTGCTTCCAAGACTCAAAAGGCCCTGCACTTCACTGCTGAGACTGTTTGCAAATGGTCCAAAGTTAAAAAGGGTGTGTTTATATATTTCCCCGATAATCGCACGACTTAGTTCTGAGCTATTGTTTTTTTTTTTTTTTTTTGGTTTTTAATAACCTTCACACAGCTTGCTTATGGATTTAATTGCTGCTATATGCTTAACTTGGTCCTCCTTTCGTACTAATTCAAGGAACATTCAAGGAACATGGATCTCCATTGAGCAATGATCCAAGAGACTTCTGTCCTTCCATAAGAAGAGGATCCATTGCATGGGTTGATTCTGGGCCAGAATTCTTTTTCAGCCGAAGGAATATACTGTGATTGGTTATGTTCTATCTCTGGATATGGAAATTTTGGAGAAAATATCTTAACTTTCTACTTAGCGAGGTTTGAGTAACCTGTGTCTTGGAGGTGAAATTGTTGCTCTCTAGTTAGTCATGTATCATCGCTGACGTAACTGAGTACAAGACGTGGTCTGTTTACTCTGACTCAATAACTCAGTTATCCCAGTATCTATGGATGAGTTGACTCTGGTCAATCTGTTTCTATGGCCATTTTTGCTCTTGGATGATGATGTTTGTGTAGACAAGACAACTGATCCGAGGCAAAGTTGGACGCCTAGATTCCCACTCGTGCGCTACTGGGGCTAGAATCATGTCAATTTTATTGAGCAACTTCACTGAGCATGCTTTAAAGGATGATTTGAATGTGGATGTACATCACCTTAACTATCTTCTGTATACCCTCTACTTGATTATTTATTGTTTCAGTTTCATCTTTAAAAAAAAAATCCAGCTACCTTATTTATAATAAATATGCATATAAAATCAAAATCTTCTTTCATTGTGCATTTAGTGTGCATGAAAGGTGCAATTTTTCCCCGGGGGGGGGGGGTGATCCATGTTCTTTTGCCTTATTTCTAATTGTAATTATAATGCTGAAAACCTTAAAAGGTATGTGCTGAAACCTAAATCAGGCATGTTATGTCAGCATTATGAAAAATTAGTTTGTTCAAGATCTGTAATTACCAATCTCACTCTTCACAATGGAATCAGGATCTTTGTGAAATGATGATTCAAAAGGAAGCCACTCTGCTCCTCTTTCTTTCTCAGTATTCTCATCTAATTACTTGGTAGTTGATATTGACAAAGATTGTTCCTATTGTTTCTGTCTGATATGCAATGAAAAAGCCTTTCATAAGCAGCCACCATCTTTGTGGCAGTGAAGAACTTCAAACCTCTTTGCAGAGCAACCTTACCTTTCTTTTCTAAAACTTCCCTGCCGCCATCACAAATCTCATAGATGGCCTTCTTTAATGAATTCACTGTTGGTGAAAATGTGTAACCCATTTCCTTGCTGACAATTACAGACCCTACAATGCTTGCAAGTCTTGTAGCCATTACTGGTTTCCCAGAAAGCATAGCTTCTAACAATGTGTGATCTAACCCTTGTGCTCTTAAAGTAGGGTTCAAGAAAATGTCAATAGCATTATAGAAACAAGTTAGTTCAGCTTGTTCAAGTGGCCCCAAAACCATTATATTTGGCCCTAAATCTCTGTATCGCGCAGCCCAAGGTCCATCTCCAGCAACCAGAACCATGATATTTTCTTGGAATGTGCTGTTTTCTGATGTAATATGCTTTAAGGCTTCAAACATTAGTGGGTGTCCTTTGTCTTTGACTAGCCTACTTGCTAGTCCTATGATCAGTGACTTGGAATCAGGAATGTTGTGCTTCTGCTTGAACTGTTTTGCCTTGGAGATGTCTGGCTTGAAAACTTCTTGGTCCACTCCATTGAGAATAATATGAACTCTTTCTTCTGGAATCATATAGACTCTTTTCAGGATGTCTCCAGCATGATCACTAGTGGCAACATGATGTGCATAATTTGGGAAGAACTTTACCTCTTCAACAACCTGCTGACAATATTCAAGGTAATGAGTAATTGTGCATATTTGAACATAATTATGATTCGGGGATAATCATGATAGAGTTTAATGGATTAGGGCAAAGAAACAACCTACGTGGCCTCTTTAGGCTACAATATTAGGAGAGAGAACTCATGCAAGAGAAAAGTCAAGAAATTACTAGAGAATGACCAGTTAAAGACGTTAGTTTTTAGGAGTTGTGAAACCACTTTTTAATAAATTCCACTGAATATAAATAAATAATTGATTAAAATAACGACTTTCTTTTCCTGCAAAATCATGAGCGGCAAAAAGTTGTAGGTGGGTGCATGCAATCCAACTTGTCAAAATAGTCACATTCAAATAGGGCTCTGTCTGTTGTGGGCTTAGTATTTAAAACAAAAGTAATTACAAAATTAAGTCTATAATTGCTCCAATAATTAATACTAATGCACAACAAAAATATATCAAAAATCAAATTCCAACACAACCTTCATTGCTCTTTCAGTCAAGGCTTTTGCCTGTGGTTCTTCGGGACTTCTCAGAAGTTCCTGAATGATATCAGAATGAATGGTTTCATATGCAATCCCATGCCAAGAGACAGCCAAATTTCTGACACAACGAGATCTAGTGTACCTAAGGCCAACGCTTTCAGTATGAACCACATCAAATGGTCTTCCTGTTGAGTTCTGTGCTTGAAATTGCTCCCAAACTGAAGCCTGTTCAAGGTAACCACCAGGTGTTGGTTTTGAGAGGTGAAAATACAAGTTGGTAAGTTCATACTTAGTAAGAGAAGAATCCTCTGACGACGACGATGTGGTGAAGACATGTAGTTCATGGCCTCTTTTGGCAAGGCCGAGGTGGAGCGTGAGGGCATGGCGTTCTAGCCCACCGGCATGAGATCTCTGAGGCCATTTCTTGACAAAAAGTGCAATCTTTAAGATCCTTGGAGGTGGTAATTCTGAGAAGGCAAGGCGGTTCCAAGCAAGAGGATATGAAAGGAGGTTGATTATTGGCTGATTATTATTGTTAGGCTTTTGCTGTGCTAATAACAATTGGTGTGGATAATAGCATTGGCCATAAAAGTGACACCAAGTGAAGAATAGAATGAAGGAGAAGATGGAAAAGATGAAGATTATGTAGCGGAGACTTCGGAAACTGAACATACCACTGCGATCTCTCGCCATGAAAATCAGGTTTCGGGAAGAAAAGCAGAGTAGGAGATCGAGGTCAAAGTTCATTCATTCATTCATTCATATTATTATTGTTATTATAAAAACAAAACCAGTGGTTGGTGGGATAGTAAAGAACGTACAAAATGAAGAAACCTGAAATTGTGGCACCTGCACATGGCTTAGAAATTGATTGTCAAATTATATTAAGAGTTTGCTTAAACGGCAGTATTGTTCCACATGAGTTTGTCACACAAACTCAGTTTCGAATGGAGCAGAAAATTTTATCAGATTCGAGGCAGAAAATTATGTTTTTTTATTTTAAATTATTGAAATAATGAAACGTTTAATCTTTCAAGTTTGTTTTAGTCATTAATTTTGTCCATCAAGTTTGATTTTTTTTTTATCAATTTAAACCCATAAATTTATTTTAAAAAAAAATTATCATGTTAATTTAAGGAGTGTAGTTTATGTCACCCCCTTAATGAGATCCGGGACCTTGTCTACCAAGATTGGAGTATTTCCGTTAACCACTCGTACAGGGAGACAATTAGATGTGCAGATAGTATTGCAAGACAAGCCATTTATTGGGCAGGGAGTTCCGGTTGTTACGTTCGTGTCTCGAGTTTTTTGTGGATACTGTCTCCTCTGATATGCTTGGCGTTAGCTAAGCTTTTATTCTGTCCAAGCTTTGGCTTGCCTCTTTGTAATTTGAAAAAAACAAAAATTAAATTTCAAATTAATTTAATGCATAAAGTACATTGATGACTGGGTATATATATATAACTAAATAAATTAGTTATCAGAGTAGTTTAATTTTTTTTATCAACTTAGTCCCTCCTAACTAGAGTTTTGTTCTTTTGTTTTTAAAATTTGTTGAGTTTATTTTTTTTTACTTGAATAACTATATTTCTTTTCAATAATTTATATGATTATCATCAATATTCAGTTACCTATGTCAGTAGATTTTAACATTATTATCTCTACTTTAAATAATAAAAACTAAATTAATAATTAAAATAAACATAAGAGACTAAATTAATAAAAATTAAATTTGAGGAATCAAATCAATAAATAAAACAAATTTAATGGATAAAGTATCATCATCCCTAAATTATTCAAGTAGTGATGGAATTCAGTGTTTGGCGTAGCTTTGAGAGCTCACACAAATTTCAATGTATTTCTTCCAACTTCCTATATTGTTGATACAGCGTCTTAGGATTTTCTATATTGTATGCAAGTTTCTTAATGTAAAATATATTTTTTAGGTATTTATCAAATTTGTTTTCTTGTACTTATGTTTTTCATTGTCTTTTCCGTCTATTTCCGTGAATTTATTTGATAAAATGAAATGCTTTGTCAAAGTAATTTTATAAATAAAAATGAATATCTTTTGAGTAGAAACAGAATTGCTAGATGATCAAGCAATCGTTCCATGGGGTTTCATTTTAAAAGAAGTTAATCGGCCTAAATGTGATCATCCTATTTTCATCCAATAAGCCTTTGGAATGTTATTTATAAATTGTCTGAAACTGAAAGGTAGTATTGTGCAATAGACTAAAATTTCTGAAATATATCTTAGATGAGTTCATTACCCCCTTATAAAAATGCTTTCTTAAGGGGTCGGTTAATCACAAATAATATCACTTTTGCTTTTGAATGCATGTCTAAAATTCATAGTACTCGTAAATCTAAGATAGGTTCGTGTGTTTATAAGTTAAACATTGCAAAGGCTTATAGTAATTTTTTTTTTTTTGGGAATTTCTTCAGAAAGTGATGCAAAACATGAATTTCCCAAGCCATTGGATTCAAATCATTTTGCAATGTATTATCATTGTCTCTTATTAGATTATTACATTTGGAGGCAGTCGAAAAGTTTTTAAATAAGATTATTTAACAGTTATTTATAAATAATTGCTAAAGAGTCTTAGATTATATAAAGTTTAATTTGCAATACCCATTTTATAGTTATTTGATTTAAAAAATAAAAAATAATTAAACTATTTAATGGCTACTTAAAGTAACTGGTAAATAGTCTCTTGAAAAAAAAATTAAAAAGATAAAAATTATATAGTGAGTTTTCATTTTAACTGCTCCATAAACGCAGAGACTATATAGTAGTTATCATATATAACTGTTATATAGCATTTGAAATTAAATCCCACCTCCTCTATATAATTATTTAAATAACCCTCATATAAAGGGTATATATATATATATATATATATATATATTTCGTGGTGATTGTGAATGGTTCTCTTTCTGAGGTGATAATGCCTGGCCGAAGTGTCAGGCAGCTGGATCCCTATCCCCCTTATTTCTTCATTTTAAGTGCTAAGATTTTATCTTTGATGATTAATCAGGTAGAACGTTTTGTTTGGTGGCAAGGTGTACAGATTTCTCGACATAATATTCTAATTGCGCATTTTATGTATTCTGATGATACTTTTATTTTGTAGAGCTATGGAACGAGACTGTCAAATCATCAGAGCTTTGCTGAATCGGTTTTCCTAATCTCTAGGCAACGCATTAATTTTAACAAATCCAACATTGTTTTTAGCCCATTTGTGCCCCATGCTTTATAAAGATCTTCATCCACTTTTTCGCATGTTGAATTTAAATTTCATTTGGGCACTTATATTGGTGGCCATGGCAATTCTCAGCTTTCTTATCACCAAGTTTTTTGAGAAAATTGATGCTCGTTTATGTTACTTGGAAATCCAAATTGCTGTCTCTTAAACACGCTGATTGATTTTAGAGAGAATTTCAACTAAAGGTTAAAGATGTGATTTAATTATTTCTAGACCTCAAAAAAATCTGAAACTTCAATTCGAGAATTAAAGTGAAAATAATTTAAATGATGAAAATATCAAAATACCATTCAATTGTTAATTTGAGATGTAAAATTATTAGTTGTTAATTTTCTTGCTTCACTTATTAATTTACCAATATAAGTTGTAAATTATATGAATTCACTTGTTAATAATTATACAAGATTTGACATCGGTTGTTCATTTACAAATAGTAACATCAGTTGTTCGATTATTAAATTTACTAATATTAGTTGTAAATTATTTATAAGTCTTATAATTTACAAATGATATTAGTAAATTAACAAGTAAAGTTATCAATTTAACAACTGATGTTATTATTTATCTAATAAACTGACGCAATTTACAACTCGAATTAGTAAATTAATAAGTGAAATAAGAAAATTAATGACTAATAATTCTACACTTGGGACAAAATTGACAAGTGAAAAATATTTTAATCTTTTTATCATTATAATTATTTTCACTTCAGTTTTTCAAGACTAAATTAAATTTCAATTTTTTTGAGACTAAAAATTAAGTCACATTCTTACTCTTTAATTGAAATTCTCCCTTGATGTTAACTCAACGTACTTTGTTGTTTACGGTTTACCCTCTTTCTTTGAGGATGTTTTCTAATTATGGTTGTCATAAAATTAACATGAAATTTTCTGTTTCTTTTGTTTTTGTTTTTTTGGGAAGTACTGATCAGCAAAATAATATTCACCTGATTAATTGGCTAAATATTTGTCAACCACGTCATGCTGGTGGTTTGAATGTTAAAAATATCGAGGCTTGTAATCGGGCTTTGTTGGCAAAACATGTGTGAAGGCTCTACAATGATAACAACTCTTTTTTAGTTTGAAATGTCTCTCTGATCAAGCTAATTTCAACTAGCCCAAAAATCTCTTGTCTCACGTATTTGGAGGGGTATTTTAAAATCAGGCAGCATTGTTATGTGTGAGGTTTCTCTTTTCTTTAATGCTAACATAAAATCTCTATCCCATATTTTTATTGCCTATCCCTTTGCTAGAGCTTCTTGACTTAGCAGTATGCTGAATCAGAACAGATTTTTACTCTGACTGGGATCTAAACCATTGGTCGCTTTATTTCGTGGCTGGAATGTTAATTCTAATACATCAACTAACCTTAGGGTAGAGAATTACTTAGGTAAATCAGATGCACCATATCATTTGTAATTTATCTAATTAAAATACTCCATTTAAATAATATTAAATATAAATTAATGCTGATATTAATAATAATAGAAAGAATAAATGCAAAAAATCAAATGTATATTTTGTTATAACAGGCCACAGTCAGATGCATTTTGTTATAACAATAAAATCAATTTAAAAAATATCATATAAGATTTTATTTAGATTACTTGAAACATTTTAATTGAACAAACTATAAATAATATAGTACACCTGATCTACCTTAAGTATTTCTCCTTTAGCGTATCAGATGTTTTACCTTTTTATATGCTGGTACACCTTCTGTTTTGCAAGCAAATATTTTGCTCCACTGGATGCCATATCTCATGCCACGACTAAAGCCAATAGATTTTTATTAGTGATTCTATATTGATTTCAAATCGCAACGTATTGGCACTCTAGTCGGATGCATTCATATCACAGTCGATGTTGGTTTCAAGGTTCATCAATTTTCGGACGTTAAGACAGATTCTTAACAGTTCAGATTTATTGTTTTATTTTTTTTAATTTTTACTAAAGAAAAAATAAAAAATAAATTTTAATAAATCTGGTCACCAATCTGATCGATCCAGATTTAATACGAATTATTTAAAGTTAATATTAAATTTTTATGTGTCTACCTGGACATATATATTATGGACAACGCAAATTTAATAATAATTGATCTAAATTTAATATTAAAATTTTTTATAAATTAATTATTTAAATATACTTTGGATGGTACAGAAATTTTCTAACAAGCACTTCTAAATTTTTTTGAAAAAGGAAATTATAAGTTAAATATTTTACATCTAAATCGTACATATAAATAATTAATTTATAAATTTTATAAAAAATTAATATTAAATTTAGACAATTAATACTAAGGGCTCATTTATTTTAGCTTATTTCATGAAAAATCATTTATTTTTTCAAAAAAATATATTTTATAACTTTTTAATTACTTTATTTAAACTTTTAAAAATAATTAAAATCTGAAAGAAAAATATATTTCTGATTATTTTAAGAAGCTATTAATGTAA